ATTATTCTCATAGTATTTATTTGACTTTTTTAAACTGAGGTATAGTCAGTTTACAATGTTGTGTCGATTTCTGGTCTACAGTGTAATTTTTCAGTCATGTATGAATATATGTATGTTCATTTTCATGTTCTTTTTCACCATAAGCTACTTCAAGATATTGAATATATTTCCCTCTGCTATACAGTATAAACTTACTGATATTTTTTATCTATTTTATATATACCAGTCAGTATATGCAAATCTCACACTCCCAGTTTACCCCTTCCCACCCCCCTCCCCCCTGGCAACCACAAGTCTGTATTCTATGTCTATGGGTCTGTTTCTGTTTTATATATAAGTTCATTTATCTTTTTCTTTTTTTAGATTCCACGTATGAGTGATCTCATGTGGTATTTTTCTTTCTCTTTCTGGCTCACTTAGAATGACAATCTCCAGGGCCATCCATGTTGCTGCAAATGGCATTCTTTTATTCTTTTTCATGGCTGAGTAGTATTCCATTGTATAAATATACCACATCTTCTTTACCCAGTCATCTGTCAATGGACACTTAGGCTGTTTCCATGTCTTGGCTATTGTAAATAGTGCTGCTATGAACATTGGGGTGCAGGTGTCTTTTTGAATTAAGGTTCCCTCTGGATATATGCCCAGGAGTGGGATTGCTGGGTCATATGGTAAGTCTATTTTTAGTTTTTATTTGACTGTTATGCAACATTTCAAAAGTACAGAAAAACATAATCATTAATATCAAAGACACCTATACATCCACCACTGAGATTAAACAAATGTGAACATTTTGCTATATTTGATTCCTTCTCTTAAAGAAATAAAATGTGTCAGACTTACTTTGGATGGATAAATATGTGATATTGACAGCAAAATGTAAATGGTAGAATCTAGAAGGTGGGAGTACCAGTGTTCACTGCAAAATTCTTTTTATGTATTGTAACATTTTCATTATGAAGTGTTGGAGAGGAAATACACCAGCCAAAAAACAGTTAAAGCCCGCCCCATGCCCCGTCACCATCGGGTGTCCTGGAGTCGGTACATAATATTCTTGCAGGTTTTATACCTTTTATACACATCATTTATCCATAAACTATACATACGATTGTTTATGTGTTTTTAAATTTTCCATAAATGGCTCATATCCTTTTTCACTCCATTAAAATGCTCGAGATTCATTCTGATAATGCACATTTACTGACGAATTATTTTTAACAACTATGTCCCGTTATATACGTAATTTCAAACTTCACTCACCCACTCAAGGGCTATCAGGTCCCCCGCCACTTTCTACCTCTAACTCCCTCTTGCCCAAAGCTCGTGTGAGCTTGCAGAAGCCCCTATCAACCAGGAAAAAAACGGGGCCTCCACAGGCACCCCCAAAATGCATGCCTTGCAAGAAATTCTCCAGTGGGTGAAGGCAAATAAAATTAAAAGTCTCTTTCAAGAAAGATGAAGACTTCAGAGAGATGAAAGTCACCCACACAGTAAGAAACACAGAGGTGGGTTCTGCTCCCACAACTGAGTCCCAGAATGTGGCTGCAGAGACTGGGGGAAAAACGTGAAAAGCAAATTCAGGAGAAATAAAATAGAGCTTTATTTACAGTGAACACACCATTGTAACAGGCCTCCAGTAGGACAGACAACTGCCCCGTATTACTTTTTTTTAATGCTTTTTTATGCTGCGTGGAATACCCTTACGTCCTAAGGGAACTCAGTGGTAGAGTCCGAGCATTTTTATAATTAAACTGAACATCTCAAAACCCCTGGTCACATTTACTGTTTCTCTTAACACTTAAACAAACACCGCCAAGCCATTGTTGTTCCCATTTTACAGACGAAGCTGCTGAGACTCAGGCTGGCTAGGAACCCGCCGGGGCTGCCCCAGCCATCGAGTCTGAAAGCCACAAAGGCCAGTAAGGCAGACGCCACGCTGGTCGCCCCAAGCACGGCGCCTCCTGGAGGGAGCCTCCGAATCAGGACTTCAGCTCACCCTGACGACAGGGACAACGGGCCAGGCAGAACCCGTGATGCCAGCCCAAGGAGGCACATATGGAAACATCACATGCACGCAGAGGACCCAGAACAGAAACACACTACCGTTTTTTTTGGTAACGTTGGCCACTGTCACTGTAGTTTCAAGAAAATGTTGTTCTAAACATCTGGAGCATCGCCCGCGCATTGGCTTCCTAAGCCACGGCCGGGCACCAGCTGGGTGTCTCCGCGCTCCAGAGGCCCTGTGACGGACCGTGTCTGTCCAGCGTGCTCCCCAGGAAGGCGGTTTCGTGCATTTTCTCCTTTCAAGTGTTTTTAAGAGGAAAGGCCAGAAAATGCAGAGGGGCCGCTGCAGACACTACTCACCGGTCGTGGAGAGCAGGGATCTTGGAAGGACACTGCAAATACTGCTTGAACCGGAGCTCAAAGGCCTGTCCGATGGAGCCGATGACATCCTGGGCCAGCCC